GAAGCCCTGCTATGCCCTCTCTTGTTCTGCTTTCTGAACCAAATGCTCTGGCATTTATGTAAGAAGGCTTGAGTTATGAAAGCTAAGAGGACGTAATTCCTATGCAAACATTTTTCATTCACTGGCGGTGTTCACCCTTCATGCAGCAGCCGTTTCCTCTGTGAGCCAATATAAGTCTTCTGTTCACAGAGGCAGCTGTAAATCTCTTGTCACAATAGCTAGCAGTTACCTAAAGGAACAGTTTTGATTACTTTTGCCTTGCTGTAAACTGGAAGAAATTTTGTACAGCTTTTCACAACCTAAGTCAACAAGCCAGTATCAGATACGTATATGTTTGTTTATTTATTTATTTTTACATAGTTTTCTTTTGTGGAGGAGGAAAGGAGGGGAGATTAATTTAAAGAGTTCCTTGATAAGACAAAAATACAGCTTGTGAGGCAACGCCTTTCCTTTTTTCCTATTTTCTTTTACCCCAGCCTCGTGTCACACAATGCCTGCAGCAAGTGCACTGCCTGATCCTGCAACGGTGACATCAGGCAGGCTGATCTCTCCCGTTTTTTTCCGTCAGTTTTTTAGCTGACCATTAGGTTACAGAACTCCAGAAGTCTGAGTCTTTAAAAGGCACCTCAGGAACTTGATATAAACAGTAAAATGTAGGGATGATCATCTGAAATCCTCACACGCGTGTAATGCAATTCCTCGAAAGCATCAAAGGCTTGGGGTTCTGCAGCATCTCAGTCCAAAAGAACTCAGCTGCAGCAAATGGAACCTCACTGATCCGATCCGTGGAGTTGAGGCAGAAGAACCTGAACCAATGCTGACAGAGGAGAATGGGTCTGCAAAGTGCGGCTGGAAGCAGAGGAACCACTCCAGTGCTGCACCCTGCTGCTGTGCAGGGATAAAGCACGCAGCTGATGAACACCTCGCTGCCTGGTGGGAACCGTCAGGAAGAATGGGACTTTCTCTGAGATTCCTTTATTCACCTGATGTAATGCAGGCAATGACACACCAAGCCAGCACACGTTTTTCAAGATCGTGATTTAGATGGTGCTTTTCGATGGACAGGTTGAACTATCACGGCAAACCAGAAAAGTTACACTATTTTTGTAGTGGTGTTGAAACACACTGAAACTACTTATCAGCATTACGTTTCCAGTCGCAGCTTGCTGCAGCTTCAGGCTCCCATCTCCCACTGAAGGCAGTCTCCAAAGTGCAGCCATCGCCCCTTCCAACAAGAGAAACTCAGACTGGAGAGTTACTTTTTGAAATTCATGGTTTCCAGAAAACGTTTTACATCCTTAAACCGCCTCTTCTGATACCCTCAGGAGTTTTGTCAGGACTGAACTAGAATAAGGATGCTCTCTGGTCTCCAGACTTAAAAAAGCTCTTGCTCTTTACCAGCTGCACAAATGATCATCCACAAAGATAATGGTTCTAATTTGAATGTGAGGGGTGCTCAACACCCTCCCTTGTTAACAAGAATACCTTACATGCAAATAAATCAGCATTTCTGTGACAAGACAGAGCCCCTGCTATCCATGTAGCAAACACTTAGCACAGAGATTCCATAAAGGCACGAAATACATCCGCAGAGACTGCAGATTAAATTTACTCCTGAAAAATGCATCTGCTGAAAAAGAAAAAAACTCCGAGCCAGCTGTCTAATGCTACAGCTTCAACTTCTGTTTGGTGATTAATCTGGAGCCAAGAGAAGATCATCTGAAGCCCCACTTTGCAGTTTAAATCACCGTTCTCCAAGCAGGAGTCAGTTCTGCACAGGAAACAGTAGCAGGGCATTCATTAGAAGCCTCTCTTGGCAGACAGCAGCTTGCTGACTGACTTGCACCTTACACGGAAGGACAGTTGCAGTAAAACACTGAGAAAACAAAATCTAGTTAAATTGTGCAGAAAATGGGCCTTAATTTGATACCTAAGCAAGGAAGCCTTCAGCAATCACTGTTTGCGGATGAATTTTTCCACCATTGTGTTACTGTTTGGTTTCCTCACCATTTGCTGCCCTACAGCCACAGGTGCACCAGGACAATCAGCACTGTTTTGGCAATCTCTCTGTGCAGAAGCAGCAGCCGCTGCTGCGATATCGCATGGGAAGTTAAGGAGCATTCATTCAGCGTCTCAGCTGCTGTGAGGGACACAAGCAGGACTCTGAGATGCCCAGAAACACCCTGCATTCCCAGCGCCATTCCATGCTTTCAGCCCCATTCGCTTTCAGTTTCATCTCATTCAAACACCTTCGCCCTTCTTTTCCTGAAGAATTATTCCAACCCATGTTGGGAAAGAGCTCTTTGTTGTACGATTAGAATTGAAACAAGATCGTGAGCATTCTGCGTGCTGCAACAGTTATGTTAAAAACAGAACGGAGTCCCGAGGAGGAGAATCTCGAGTCCTGCAGGATGCCAGGGAGGGAAGGGCTGCATTGCAGCCCATAGAGCAGCACAGCGTGGGACTGAAACCCACCCGTGTGGCAACGGCCCGAAGGAAAACCGCTCCTTAGCGACCACCCCCACAGCCCGGAGCAGCGTTCCCAGCACCTGCATCAACCGAGCAGCACCGCACCGCAGCACCTCTTCGTCCCTCACCCATACAGCGCCTTTCTTCCTTACTTTTAACTCTCGCTCCCTCTCCGCTCCCCGTGCTGAGTTCCGCGACCACCCGACCCCGCTGCCACCGGCCGGCACCGTGCGGGCACCGCCAGGCTCGAGAAGGGCAGCCCGAGAACAGCCGAACGGCCCGCCGGGCATCGCCTCCCCTCCCCGCCGCCGGACCCCACAGCCCAGCGCCCGCTTACTGCCCGCTCCCGCGCCCCAAACCCCCGCTGACAGAGCCGCAGCGGGCAGAGCGCCCCCCTCCGGCTCGGCGGTCCGCGCCACCCCTCCCTCCTCACGCACCTACGGCGGCCGGAGGCGCTCCCACACGCACACCTGTCGCGGACGCGGTAACAACTGCACCTCCGCGCCGGCGGCGGCGCCGGGCAGCAACGCTGGCCACGCCCCTCACTCCTGCAGGCCACGCCCCTCCGCCCCAGACCACGCCCCAGACCACGTGAAGAAAGGGGCATGAGGGGTGTGTTTCTTCATTCAGCGCATGCGCAGCTCGGCTCTCCCACGGGTCTTCTGTACGCGTGTGCGTTGTCGTCTCGAAGCGAGGGGGGGTGAGGGTGGGAGGGGGGGGGGTGGGAGAGGGACTGCGGTGCTGCGGGATCATTGATGGGGGGTCGGGGTCGGTACGCACAGCACCCACCACCCAGCACTGCGGGGCTGCCCTTGGGGCTCAAAGCCCGAAGCCGAGAGGGGCGGGCGGGTGTTTGTGTGGTGCTGCCGTACCTGGAGAGCGCCGTGCCGGGACGAGGAGCGGCCGTGATGGGGTCCCGCACAGCCCGAGTATGTTTAAAGAAAAAAAAAAAAAGTGGTTTTCAGCAGCCCAACTTGATAACCCGCATTCCTGAGATGCTGGGCGTTTATGCATCTTCATTAACGTGACACGAGCCTGAGTCTGCAGCCAGAAAGCGGCTCCTCCAGATGTTTATCTGATCAGTGCACTTCAGGAATTGTTGTAGGTGCCCTTTTATTTGTTTGTTTATTTTTGTTCTTTCTTACACCCTTTCTATCACTCCCACTGTGTAAAGTATGAAATCCTTGAGTTAAAATACTGTGTCCTCACTCCCACAGGCTGAGAGCTCAGTGAGGCTCTCCATCCCCAGCTCTGCCCGAGGCTCAGCACAGCTCTGTGCTGCAGAGCTGCTCACACACCTCCCCACCCACCCCAGTCAAGAAGCAGGAAGCAACGAGTTGGAATTGATAACTGGCATTGCTTGCAGAGCAACCGCAGCCATCAACATGTGAAATGTGCTCTTTCCAGTGAAAAGCACGAGTGTTTGCCTAGAAAATACACACAGCTTAAATGATGTGTTTTGTAACTTCACCAAACGGCGCAGCGATCTGTGCTGGAGGCTCAGAGGTGCGTCCAGGTGGAGCAGATGTGACCTCTGCTAAAGCGTGTCAGATAAACTCTGTGTGGTGATACGAAAGGCAAGGCTTGCACAGGGAATGACGTGTTTGCTTTGGTGATGTCAGCAGGGCACTGCAGGCATGGCTCAGCTGCTTCTCAGAGCTGCTGCTGCCATTCCAGACACCAGGATGTCCGTGCAGACGTGGGACTGCCGTGGGATCGAGCCTCGCTGGCCTGGCCTCCCTTTCTCTGGTGCTAGGAATGCTGCAGGACACCAGTGACAAATACCATAGGAAACCAGTCAAACTGCACATCTGAGACAGCTTTGAGCCCATGCCACACATGCAGCTTCCCTCTCTGCAGTGGTTTCTGGAGCTGAGCTCAGCAGAGCTCCTGCAGGATTGGAGTCTAAATGAGGCCATGCTGTAATGTGAGGCACAGCAGCAAGGAGGGGCTGAGAGGGAGATGAGTGCAGCAGTTAGGAGATACCACGATGACTTAATTAGTTATGTGCAAGGTTTGGGGGAATTGCATTAGTTGAGCTGGATCTTCTTCCCTCCGGCATTCTGAATGGGTTATAGAGGTTAAAGGGTGCATCGTTGCCTTTTAGCAGCCATTTATGTGCCTGCAGTTGCTCATGACTTTCTGTAAAACCTTTTAAACATGTCGGTAGTCTCCACTTTTTGTAATAGCAGGTTCCAGACTTGTGTCAAAAAGTGCTTTGTCCTCTCAGCTGATCTTACAGTTGTAAAGCGTTCTTCTGTAGGCAAATTTGGTGAATACAAAGTCTGCATTTCCTTGTTCTACCAACCTCACACCTGTAAAAGCCTCACTGAGATCCTTCTAAGCCTTCTCTATAAACTGAAGAGTGAATCCCAAGAATTTCGGTAGCTCCTTATGAAGACATCTGCTCCCTGCCCTCTTCTGGACCCTCTGTTCCTCCATCACATTCTTCTGTGCTGCTGGGACCAGAATTGCTCCAGCTGTGAGCAAACTGAGGACTTTCTTATCAGCAGAGATGGGGACTTTGGTCATTCTTGGAAACAGCCAACATCCAGTTGGAGCTTTTGGCTGCTGTTGTATCCTGAGCTGGTGGCTTCAGGGAAGTGTCCATGGCAATGCTGTGCTCTCCTTCCCAAGCTGCAGCTGGCAGCTCTGAGCCCAGCAGAGACTGAAGAGGACCGGGGTGTTTTCTGGTGTCTTTGTGTTTTAGTAAGAGATTGTAGTGAACTGCAGGGAGAAAGGCTGATGAGTCAGTAAGAAACAGCCAACATATTCCAGGAGAATAATCTCAGGTGTAATTATTAACAGGTTTATGTTTTATGGAACAGGTGTTTGGTGTTTTTTGTTAATGTTTTTTTTTTAAAGGCACAGCATCTTCTCTAGCATTACTCGTAGAGCATTATTTATCCTAGAGAGGAGAGTGCAAATAACTTGATTGTGTCTTTTCAGCGCTCTCTTCTTGATGCTCCCCATTCTCTCTCACTGCAGCAGCGCTTCCTGAGGGAATCTGCATCCTCTGCCTGATTTCTCTGATTGCTGGAGCTGCTGAACTTCCTACAGAAGAGGCCCAGCAGCAGCAGGTAGGGTGAGGCAGCCGCTGAAGAAACACTCCCAGGTATGGACAGTGCTTGAATACCCACGTGGCTTTTTTTCCTTTTTCCTCCACCCAACCAATGAACTTCGTGTGACCCCTCCCAGCAGCGCCGCTCATTTGTTTAATCAGCGATTAAACTGGAATTTTACTTCGCTTCCAAACACGCTCTATCAGTCCTTACATTCCCTTCCATTTATTTATTTATTTTGAACTAGAGGGAAGGCAGTAGAAAAATACATCATTAAAGCAGCGTGGCATAACTTAAAAGGAGAAACCATCACAGATGTGGTGACTGTGGGACTGAGGAGGCTTTAAGCCCTGCAGAAAACTGCTGTTCCAGAAGGACAGAACGTAGGACCCAGCATCTGTTAGGAAGAAGTTATGGCACAAGTGCCCTTGTTGGCTCTTGCAGTCCTTTCCAAGCTCTCCTTTAGGCACAGTTTAAGACATTAAGACTGACTTTGACACAGCACGTGTCAGCACCACAACAAAGAAAACCAAGCAAACCACACCCAAGTGTGAACCCTGCAGGTAAAGTGCAATAAAAAAATGAGTGCTGGTATCTTGCAAGATCAATGCAGATTTCTTTTCTTCCTTGTTGTGTTTCTTTTTAAAAATACTGCTTGTTTTCATCAGTGAATGCAGAACTCACCCCATGATTCCATGAGCTCTTTTCTGAGTAGAAAAAGCAAACTTAGACCTCATCATTGTGTAATTACAGCCAAGCTAGCTTTGCCCCTTCATATTTGCATTCATTAGCATTTTGTTTTGCCTGTAGCTTGATTGCCCAGTGGTGTGAGATCCTTTCCTGACTCTTTCCAGACAGTTTGGATGCCCTGAGTAGTTCCACATCCATATCATGAGTAGATTTCTCACTTCACTGTTTACTTATTTTCCAGCTCACTGGTGACTCTTGTACAATTTGGGCCTCTGCACAGATGCATGCTTTGTTATTGCTCTACACGTTAGAGGTTTATAAAACAAGTCTGTAGTTACGGTGTGACTTGGTGTGCCCAGCACAGTGCAGGCCTGCAGAGATTAACTGATTTTATCCATCTCCTTCCTGGGGCTTATTGGTTGCTGTGAGGCACTTTGGATTTGATTTGCCTGCTGAAAGGTGCAATTGCTGATCTGGCCGCTGAGGAATCATCACCACCACCAGCGCATCTCCTGGCAAAGCAAAGCACCTCCTTTCATAGAAGCTGCTGAGTCTCAGGCGCCTTTCCCTAAACAGGGGATTTTTGGTGGAGTTAAACATTAACACTGTTCACAGTTCCCATCTGTTCAAGGTCCAAGAGAGAAGCTGTGCTGAGTCAGCCCTGGCAGCTGTATTTCCTGCTCCAGTTCTCTCCTTTTGCATGATTCACTCACTCCAACTCCCTGCCAGGAAGCCTTGGTCCTGGGTGAGACAGTAAGAGGCAGAGGGATCTCCTGCTGTCCTGCACCAGGATACTGGAGACCAGCTCCTGTGTGTCCTGGCTGCCCTGCGAGTAATGTTGGTGCTGCAAGGAAAGGAGGGAAACTCACAGTCACCAAAAGACTTGCTTGAGCTATTCAGGAATTTTCTTTGGCTGTTAGCAGTCCTGTGCTCTTGCCACATGGCATTTTTCCTTCCAGGCAGCGCTGGACAATGGCTGTGAATGCATGGGCAGCTTATTGTTTGGCTGCGTATGTTGCTTTCATATGGGCACTTGAACTAAAAGGGTAAATCCTTTGAACTGTGGCGTTTTCAAGAGCGCAGCACATTAGCCGGGAAGGAGGGTGGGCAGATGAGAAGAGCTGTTGTATTTAATATTGCTGCCACAGTAGTACACTGCAGCACTGCCAGGACTTTGGGCGTAGCCAGTCTGACATGGGAAACATTGTTCAGTGCTGTTGCCTGGCTGCCGCTTGGAGCTGGAGCTCTGTGCTGCCTGCTTGGTGCTGAGGGTTGGAGTCAGACCCAGCAACTGCTGCTCATCCACTTGGAGAGGCACCGATGCCACCCCGGTGGGTTTGGTTCTGCCTGGACAGCACTCAGTTTGCTTCAGCACCGGTGGCAGTTTGTGAAATTGCAACTGCAGGATCTGCTGAGCTCAGACCTGCAAACAGAGCCAAGAGTCTCTCTGGCTTTGGATAAAACTTTGCTGTGGTTACATGGATCATGTGATGGCGCAGCTGATCTTTCCAGCATTCGGTGCTCTTGCTTTAGGCTTCCTCAGCTGTGCAAAGAGTTCAAAAATTGTCCCCCTGTATAACTGCTACTTATTGATACTAGGACAACAACTTCCAGGAGTTGTTGAGGAAACTCCTCTGCCTGCATTCCTGTTTATCAGAGACTCCTTCCCCGCATGCCAGCCCATCCACAAAGCCTTCAACATCCCCAGCTGTGGGATTTCTGAACAGATGCAGCTCCTCCCTGCAGCACAGTGGCTCCCTTCCCTGCTCAGGACAGCGTGCCACGTCGGTCAGTTCCTCAAGAGCTTTGGCTGCCAGAATCGAGTGAGTTAAATCAGGTCTAAGCTGCACTCTGAGTCCTCTTCAAGACATGTTGACAGAGAAATGTATGCCTTGAAACAACTTGAAAAGAAGAACTGTAGGAAGGGAAAAGAGTAGGAAAAGGCATCGGCTGTGAGCGCCTGCCCTCTCCTGAGATCTCTCCCCCTGCAAAGAGTGCAGCCCTGGCTCCTCTGTGACCTCTTTCTTCCTGCAGGGTAATGAAAGTCAGCACGCTGTAATGGCAGGCTGAAAGTCAGCTGCTCTGCCACAGGGTTTGTCCTCCGGATAGATGAAAGGAAAGTGGTTTGGTGTCCAAACGACTGTCACAGCTTTAAAGAAGAATTAAAGCCAGATGTTTCCAACCAGCCTGCTGAGAACAGCCTTTTCTGACATTTTTGCCAAGCCATCAAGGAGACCCAGCCAGTGTCTGCAGTGCTGCATGTTGGGAAAATGCTGTGATCCCAAAAGCTGTGCTGCAGTTGCTGGAGCACCCAGGCTGTGCATCCACAGGGCTGGGACACAGTGCTGCCAGCTCAGTGGTTGTGCACCATGTATCAGTATTTACTCCTCACTGATAATGGAGATGATAGCAAGATCGTAGTGAACACATCAAATTCAACACTTTTTGCCTTGGGAAAAGGTACTGTAGGTATTGAAGGTATTGTAACTGGGCTGGCATCAGCTCTCAGGTTGGTGGCTTGTAATGGTCAATAGAGTCCAGAAAGTCATCCCTGTCCCTGGCTGTGCTTGGGCTGATGTTCAGTCTAACAGGCAGATAGAGCTTTGCCACAGTGGGATCCCATCAGAACAAGGAAGAATGCATTTTAGTCTCTCCTCACACACACAGCGTTTGTATTCAGCTGCAACTGAAGCCAGTGACTGTTCCTGTGTGGGTAGAAGTGAGGTGAAAGCTGAGGAATAGGGAAACGGGATCCTTGCCTCGCTGTAATCAGGGAGAGATCTGCACTTCCCACTTTGCTGGGAGTAACCCAGACCTCAGGACTGCTGGGTGTGTGGTTCCAGCTCACACCCAGAGGTAATTAATCTTTTTGCCAGCGTAGCTGCTCCAGGCTTCTGACTACAATAAGTATTGCTCTTTGCCTTTGTCAGCCTGCCTTGCGGTTACAGCGTTCACCTTCTGGCCTCTTCAGGATAAATTCCTGATGCTGTGCCCTCAGCGCTGCTTTGAGGTGGAGTTTCCTCTTGCGAAATCAGTGGGCGCTGGAAATGTCCTCTTGGCTCCAGTGCCTGGGAAAGGTTTTGCTCAGTGTTCTATGGGGATGTGCCGCAGCCTCCTCTTCCTCCTGCCAGCATGTTTCCTCCTCTGGAGCAGCAGATGAGGTGCTCCTGAGATGCCATGTGCCACCGGATCACTGTCTGTAGCAGGGAAGTAAATGATAAATTCAGAAGGTGCAAAAATAAATAGAGAAGAGGAAAGATAGGATGCAGAAAATCCCAGTTTTTACTGGCATCCACTCATAATCAGATAATTTGACCAATAACGAAAAATAAACCCCTCTCTCATCTGACTCTACAAAGCCGAGCCATAAAAAGGAGCTTTCTTCCGTGCCCTTCATTTGTTCTCACAATACAACATCTCATTTCAGCGTGTGCATCAATTCATTCTGCTCCGCCACATCACGGACAGAGGCACGATTGTTTCTGCTGCGATTCCAAAACCAACTGTGCAGAGAAAGCCTTTGGGAGCTGCTTGGTGAGGCGGGCATTGGGCTGCTGGCACTTCGGGTGGAGCTCAGGGAAAGCTGTCGGCCTCACCACCCTCCTGTAAGTTAACAGAAGACGGTGACTAACAGGAAGGAAACCGGACTGTGGTGTAAACACAAACTTGTTTCTCTTTGCCTTTCAGATGGGTATTAAATGTTATCTGATTATAGCTTGTTTCTTGAAATGTCCCATCTGATTTGCTCCGTCGGAAGACAAACAGTTGTTGTTGCAAAATGAATTATTTAGTAGCTCTATAGACTGGGTCTGTTTTTCTGCCCTGTCTGCACTTCAAGCCCAATGAGGCTGTGAGTGAGTAAGGGCTCTGCCAGTAGTGGAAATGTTTTGGCCAACAGCTGACCAATGACTTTACCAGTGTGATTAAATGGGGGAGATCCTGCAGGAGCAAAGAACAACTGGGGCCTCCCTCAGCTCCTGTGGGATTTCCAGAGCTCAGTAGGTCTGAACACGAGGCTCAGAACAATTCTATGCTATGATTTCCCTATTGCTGCGATATTGCAATGGGTACACTAAAAATGAATGAGCAGATTCTGAAGATAAAGAGGCCTGTACAAAGGGGATAATGCTTAATTACTTCACAGGAGGGTAAAAGGATTAATGAAATAATGTTTGCAAAGTGCTTTGAAGATGAAATGTGCTAAGTCTGATTATATCTGGGTGAGGGATAAGAACGAAAAGGAGGCGATCAGTTCCATCCTGTAGCCCCCAGAAACAATAAATAACGATCTGAAGGGATTTGTTCTGCCATGCCCGTTTGGATCCCCTGGCTGAAGGTGCACTTTCAGAACAGATTCTGCTGTCGGGAAATGGGCACTTTTCATTTCTTCTGCCCAGAGTTATTTATTCTGCTCCTTCTGCATCATTTTGCTTTTCTTTTTCGTTTAGGTGCATCTCAGATGTGCCGATCAGTGAGATGCCTGTGGGATCTGCCATCTGGGCCATCAATTTGAGGCACAGCTTGTGCCACCACCTCTAATCTCTTCAATGGACTTCGATTACCTCTCTGGCTCAAACTCGTGCGATTTGCTGGGCTGTAATTGCAGGTAATGGTGTTAAGTGGGGCCAGGGTTCCCCCACAGGGCACGAGGCACTGCCATGGATCTGCATCCTTCACCCACGCTGAGCCCACTGCTGGGCTGCGATTCTTTAATGGAATATTTCTAGATCACCTTCCCTGAGATTTGATGCAGTAACTTTGGGGCAGTCTCTGTTGCTTTGAGGAGTCTTGGAGTTGCTTTCCATGCAGGAATCCCCTCGGTGGTGTCACTGCTGCTGGGTCCCTGTGAGCAGTGAGTGGAAGAGTGCAATCCTTGTGCTCACGAACCACAGAATCGTTAAGGTTGGAGAAGGCCTCTATGGTCATCCAGTCCAACTCCAACCCACCCCACCATGCCCATAACCACGTCCCTCTGTGCCACATCTCCATGGTTCCTGAACCCCTCCAGGGATGCTGACTCCATCACTCTCTGGGCAGCTGTGCCACTGCATCTCCACTCTTTTGGAGAAGGAATTTTTCCTACTGTCCATCCTGATGCCTCCAACAGCGGAGATTTGTCCCTTCCTGTCAGTCAGAAACTTGTCTCCAACGTGAGAGTATCTCCAATATGAATCCACTATGTGGTGCACAGAGTAAGAGACTGAAGTTCCAGTGGGCTCAGCTGAGCCCTTCCCACGTGGATGCGGTGACACTGGGTGTACAGTGGTGGATTTGTGCCATTTCTGTATCAGTGCCATCTGGATGAAATCCTGCGGTGGCCGAAGGCCTCTCCTCGTCTCCATGCGCTCCCCCAGTCGTGGGAGCCCCAGTTCGTTCCCCTGACGAAGGGCTGAGGGCGAAGGATCAGAATTTGGGCTTATTTCCGTCAAACAAAGCGCCAGGACCACGCTTGGCGCCCGGCTCCGGCGCAGCGACCTCCAGTCCGCAGGGGGGCGCTGCCTCCCCCCGTGCGCCGTGCGCTCCATCCCCGGCGGGACGCACGTTTCCTTCCCGCCCCGCACGGGGTTGGGCCGCTCCGGCTCCGCCTTCGGCCCGGAAGCGATCCCTCGCGCCCCGGAAGTAGGCGGCGGGCGGCGGAGGGAGACGGGGGCCGGGCCTGGCGGTAGCAGCCGGAGGCGGAGCCCGGGTGTCCTCGGCGCTGGCGCGGCCGCCGCCGGGCAGCGGGGAGCGCGGCGCGGATCCCAGATCCGCCGGCCGGAGCGCGGGGGACGCGATGCTGCTGTTCGTGGAGGTGAGGCGCGGCGCCGGGCCGGGCCATGTGGCGGGGAGGCCGCGCACGCCGCGCCGCGCCGGGGGGAGGGGACGGGGCTGACACAGCAAATCCGGGGCCGAGGGGCGCGGGGCGCCGGGCGGGGAGGAGAGGAGGGGGTCGGCGATCTGGAACGTTCCGGCGGGGCCTCCGCGTGCAGGCGGCGGGGGCGGTGAAAGGCACCGCAGTGACCTTCGGGGAGCGGCGGCGCTGGGCCCGCCCTGAAGGTGACGCGCTGCGCGGGGCCTCGCACCGGGAGCGGCCTCACGGCGGGCCGGGGGTCCTTCCGTTAAACTGTGAGCGGCCGCAGCGCAGCGCAGAGGCCACGCAACGCTCGGCCGCGAATCGCGGCCCTCCCAGCCGGGCTGCACGCCGCGCCGCGTGCGCTCAGCGCGGTTCCCGAAGGCGGCTCCGGGTGCGACTGCGCCGCTCGGCGTTGAGAGCGTCCGGAGCGAGCGGCTGCGGTAATGGGACGGGAGCGAGGAAAGCGAATCGATCCGTAACGGCGTGTTGTGCTCCCTTGGGAACGCTGATGCGTTCTGCATTGAAGAAAGTGTGAATCAAAGTCTTTGGGAATCCTCCGTTAAGGTGATTGCTTCGGTTCTGCAGCTCGAGTTTTATGGAAGGGAGGGAAGGGGAAAGGCTGTGCAGACATAGGCAAATTGCGAGAGTTGGGTTTTGCAGTATGGCAGCTGAGGAGGGGCTGTTGAAGCTCATGAGCAGTGCTGAGCTGAGTGTGGAGGATCTGTGCTCCCATTGGGCTCAGAGCCGTGTGGGTGTGCAGTGAATCCCACAAAGACACACACCGTATTTTTGTTGTTTTCTTTGATCTTCCTTCCTTTTTGTCGATAAGCATTGTTAGTTTCTGCCATCTTCGTTCAGGAACCGTCAGTGATGATCTCAGGAGCTCCAAATCAAACACATCTGACCTTGTGAAGGCACTTCCCCTCCAATGTGAACTCAGAGCTGGCTGTTCTGAATCGCCGGAGTGCAGCACACTGAAGCAGAGCCCTGCTTCTCCTCTGGTTCTGTGGGGCTGCCTGAAAAACACTGCAGAGAAGGGTTGTGCTGGAAGTCGTGGAGCTTTTGGGAGGATTAATTAGCTCACCGACTTTAGCTGTCAGTGCTGTATTTTTAGGCTTAGCTGAGGTGTGCACGTGCTGATTGCAAATTGATTTCTTCACTGTGTGCAGCTCTGTTTGCTCTGAAAGTCTCTTAGCTCAGAAAACTTGCTGAGCTGAGGTAGTGGTGTGAAGCTTGTTTTTCACATGCTAATATTTGGGATAGATGTTTTTTGCTTGCAGCCGTGGCAAGTACACTGTTAGAATTTGATGATTTATTGGAAACTTTTGAAATCTGTGCGTTCAGGATGGCTGAAATGCTGCCCTAATTGCTGTCAGTGGTGCTTTTCAGTGAGAAAACCAGGACTGTGAGTACTGAGATGGCTGACACAGTTCCCACAGAAGCCATTGGCTCAGGTGGGGGCGGCACCGTCTCACTGTGCCTTTGCTTTACGGAGGGCTACAGGAGGAGCTCCCACTGTGCAGTGCGAAAACATCAGCATTCAGTGGTTGTCCTGTGATCACTGCTGCGTGTTTTGAGAACTACAGGGGATGTTTGAGGTGCTGAGCTGTTACTATGGGATGTCCTGCAGGCAAATCAGGCGTTCTGTGTGTGTGACAGCAGTGCTCCTCGGTTTGCCTCTCAGCCTGGCTGAGCTTTCAGAAGGCCATGGATGACAGCATGTGTCTGCGTCCCTGCAGGTGTTTCCCCATCAGCATTCATATGGTTTCTCTTTGTTAATCTCCCATAGATTTGCTGACTTATTAATCTTTAATTATTATTATTTTCCTCTGTTTATGTTTTCCCTTCTGGAAAACATTTGCCTTCTCACATCGCAAGTTTTAATGAATTCTCTTGTAGATTTTTCACCTAGATGCTCTTTTAGGGTCTCAGTTTGCTCCATGGAGTTTGTCCAAACTCAGTGTTAAGATTTTGCGGGATTAAAATATGCTGTAAAAGAAGCTGTCCTTTCATTTTTGTAGGCTCACTTGAATCTGTGCAAGGTAACATAGACAAATAGAATAAAAGGCAGTGTTCTTAGCCATCTTCTCAAGAGGAGAGATGCTTCAGTGACCAACGGGGAGGAATTTCTGGAGGGGAATCTTTGACCACATTTGCTGAAGGTGATGTGAGGTGGGGGAGGCTCAGCTGAGAGCTTTGTCAGCTCGTGGATGCCAGCGAGTGTTCCTAACCTTTGTATCTCTGTAAAGCTTTAACCTCATCATGAAAGTTCCCGATAGCAGCAGGGAGGGTTGTTCGGCAGCCAATGGAAAGGCCTGGTGTTTGTTCACCTCCCCTAAAGAAGCAGGAATCGGTGTTTTGGCCTCCTCTCCCATAGAACCACTTGCCAGAACAGCAGCACAGCTCTGGGAGCACAGCTCGTGCTATTCTCTGAAGGCTGATGTAAATGAGGGACTTTTTGTCTGCTCAGAGCTCGTGGTGTCTTGCTATTAAGCTGCGTGACATCAGGGCTGGGTCTTCCAGAGCTACATTATGTGTCATTAAATGCACTACAACAAAGAGGAAGTAGCCCACGCTCTGTTTCAGGAGTGTATTTCAGATGCTGTATTAATAGGCCCATTCATTTCTCGATCAGTCTGAATCTGTTCAGTTTCTTACTTACTTTTCTCTGGCACCTGTGATTTCGGAACTTGCCATTAACATGTGTGGCTTCCAGGATGTGCTGCAGTAACTCAGACTTACCCAGGGCTGCTTTTCAGTTCTGATCTGCTTCAGAGGTGCAGTGACATCCCTGAAGTCTTTCAGTTTCACTTTATCATATTTGCACATTACAATTATTTTCATCTTGAGCTGAGTTTCTACCTGTAAGACCTAAGGCAGAGAGGTAGCATTTGTGAGTAATGAATCATCTCCTGGATGCGCGTTGGTGTTTGGTTTTACATTTGATGAAAAGTAAATTGAAGGAAATGTGATGTTAGCTTTCCGAAGCAGATCCCTCTGCTGCCACAGTGCTGCATCACAGAGGGACGGAGGGTGGGCAGAGCACAGTTCAGAGTTTGCTGAATTGCACTGGGACTGCTGGGAACGCGCCGCAGCTGCGTACTGAGCTTTGGTTCCAGCACCTTGTTGGAGAGGAACTGCTCTGTCCCTTCACACTGCACTACTGCTGCTTCTCCTTTCTGTTTCCAGCCACATCCTTCTGCTAACGTTCACAAAGCCCCATCGCAGCATGGACTGAATTCACTGTGCCTAGAAGCTTTTGAATTCTAAAGGCAGCCTGCAGAATCTTTCACCTCTGCTTCGCCCTCTGGTGTGTTTGCCTTGAACTTCTCAGCAGTTTGGAGGCTTTTTGTTACTGGGCTTGGAATTGTCCTCGGAGCGACTCAGTGCCACCTTGGCAGAATTTGTCTCTAAAGCTATTGCAGCTGCTTTCTTATCCTCCTTTCTGTTCCAGGCCTGGGAGTAAACCACTCCTTGATTTCAGACTCCTGGAGGCTGGCGGCTGTGATATCAAACTTCCTCATTCATGAATTCGTGAGATAAGAGCTAAGATGGGTGGCTTTTGCCTTCTGAATTCAAGCAGGTGCTGTGAATGAAGTGGGCTGTCCATGAAGAGGGAACCAGTTTGGAGGACAGTGTGTTAATTACTTGGAGGACATTAGGAATTCTTACTCTAATTGTGGTTCTTGTTGCCCAGTCTTAAAAGCGTGGCAGCTCTGTTTCCCCCACCTCCAGGCAGGCTGTGGTGCTGTGTATCCTTACCGTGGGTCTTTGGGAGCATTTATCTGTTTGGTTACAAGTTCACCACCATCCTGCTGACAGCTTTCTTCAAGTCATAGAGACATCAGGTAATGAGGAGTCCTGGCCCAGTGTAGGTGATGCTTTGTTAGGAAAGATGGCACCAATTAAGTTCAGTAACTTGTTGCTAACTCTTCCTTTTGGAATGTGATGGCCTTTCTTTGTTGTTTTATGTTTTTAACCTTCCTGTCTAGGATAGGATGTGGAGGGGGGAAATCCCCATTTCTGCTGAAAGGTGACAGGAGGACTGGAAGCTTTTACAAGTTGGAGCTTTTACAAGCAGAGTGCATCGCAGCCATCAGCAGCAGGGGAAGCTGCTGGCTGGTGTCAGTAAAGAAGTTGGAAGCAGCGCTTCGTGGAGGCAGAAATAAAATACTTGGGAAATGGAAATGCCAGAGATTTTCCCATTTTGAGTGAGGAAAACTGACGGGGGTGGTTAGCAGCTAGTGGCCACCTTGCATGTGGATCTGTACAGCAAATCACAGAGTTCACCTGTGCCATCAGGCTTGCCTGTTGGAGCATCTGGAGGTTATTTTCCCTCACGGAATTGTTGTGCTCTTTTCAGCAGGTAACATCCAAGGGAGCTGGCCTAAACCCCAACGCCAAGGTGTGGCAGGAGGGTCCCCAGGGCAGCGGCGAGGCGGCGCCGCCAAGCAATGGCGCAGAGCACTCGTGGCACGAACCAGCAGCTGTGGTGGGGACTCAGACTGAGGGTGAGATGAGCCAGCACTGCGTGTTGCTATGGGCTGTGGTGTGTGGGGGCCGAGTAGGAATTGAAGGAGGGATCCGGGGCTCCACTGTGATGCTGATGGTAGTCGAAGGGCCCGGTGATGACTGTAACGCGCTAAGAGGGAAACAAGATGCTAAACGTGTAGGAATGGGTTCAAGATGTCTTTTTTGCCATTGCTGCACTTTAGTATAAACTTGACCCTGTGAACAGGAACATAAGTTCTGAGGGCCGCTTATAATCCTGGATGATCACCTGGTGTTGCTGAGAACTGTTGCACAGCAGGGCTCTTACTGGAGTAGGAACTACAGAGCAGTTCTTCAAAGTTTTGTGGAGCTTTAAATGCTTTAAATTTCAGCAGAGAGTCTGGGTGGGGAATCTTACCATTTCAGGACCCTGTTATTTACTGAGGCCTTTTATGCAATCCAGATCTTTGTGAAAATAGAGAGGTGGGAAGTGCTGTCCTCTGCAACGTAGGCATTGAAAATCCAAGCCTTGTTATTACTGCATTCTTGAGTATTGTTTTTAATGCTGACGTTCTCAAATGGAAATTATTCTGAAGCTTATAGCTGGTCTTCTGCTGTTGGTGCATTCTTCTGCCAGGTAACGTAGAGATTTCGGAGGACAGCTGCAAGCAATATGAAGTGATGTACTCCACGTCGTGTGAAGCTGCAAGAAATGGCACAGGAATCGATGAAGCAGCTGCCAATGGAATTGTCCTAACAACAGAAGATCTTGGATACCAAATCTATGAAGTGGCTGGTGGGTACTTGATCAATAACACCACTGTCAGTAGCTGTAACTCTGCAGTGCATGCTGCCCTTGCAACATTAGGAGTGGGGACTTTGGATACACACTGAATGGGAAATGACAAGGAGATCCAGAGCAGCCGTTGCAGTCGGCCAGGTAGATGAAGGCCGTGGGATCAACTCAGCACCACAGGAATGACACAGCCTGCAGTGTGTAGTGCAGTCATCTCTAAATGTATCTTCTGTGACCTTTTCCTTTGTTACCCTGAGGGATTCATACTTGAATTGTGCAATGAAAAGGGTTCTTGTATTGATGTGAACCTGAGATCTGATGGTGAATGTGATAAATTTCAGGTGAAGGCAACTCCGTTGTGTCCACAGAAGATATTAGAGAATGTTTGAGGAAGCAACTCGAGTTCTGCTTTTCACGGTAAACTTGGCACGAGCTCTTCATTAAAACTGCTAGCAAATACTTAGTTTTGTTTGTTTGATTAATAAACACGTGAGCTGTGGGTGACAGCAGCTGGTTGCAGTACGGAATGAGGTCTGCTGAAATGCTGCAGAAGCGCTGTGGTGCATTTCAGCCCCATCCATGCATCCCTGCCAGGAATGGGAATCCAGGCTGACCTCTGTGCTGTGAGGTGCTGGGATAATTTAGAGAAGAGATGTCTTTGGCAAGATTGCTTTAGCAGAGAAAGCAACACAGAGCATGCTCTAACTTTCATCAAAGTAGTTGTTTTAATCATCTTTTTGTGTTGATCTGCTAAGACACTTTCTAAGGGATGAAATGTGAGTACATTTTGGCTGTGAGTGGTGTTGGTGAGCATTTAAGCCTTGCAGTAAGTATGTTGTTGTAAGGCATCTGTTTAGAAAAGGAATAAAAATTGTGAGATTTTTAATAAAATAATGAATTTGGTTTTTTAGTGAGAATCTTTCAAAGGATCTCTACTTGATGTCCCAAATGGACAGCGATCAGTTTGTTCCAATATGGACAATTGCTAACATGGAAGGTATTAAGAAGCTGACAACTGATATGGACCTTATTCTGGACGTTTTGAGATGTAAGTCTGGGTGTTTGGTAAATGCTGAAGAGAACCTTGTACAGCAAAGAATGCATTTCAGGGCTGTTCCAGACTCCTGAATTCTAGTTATGCCCTGTTATAAATGCCTAAATCTGTCTTAGTGAGAGGCTGCTTTGGGAGAATGTTAGCAGTGATTTGCTGAGAGTGCTCCCAGTTCACTGCTCACTGCAAAGGAGTGACTGGAAGTGATGCTGCTGAGGTGATTTTTGCCTTGTACGTTGTCCCATTTTAAGCCAATTTTTGTGTTTTAATTGTAGCTTCTCCTATGGTACAAGTGGATGAGACAGGGGAGAAAGTCAGACCAAACCACAAAAGATGTATTATCATTCTCCGTGAGATCCCTGAAACAACACCTGTAGAGGTAAAGAGTTCTATAAGAATGGAGAGCTTGGTGTTTTTGGAAGGTTCTTCAGCAGTGCTTCAGGCAGCAGCAGGAAGTGTTGCTTAAAAGGTCAACTGGTGTTTAATTAAGCTCTAAGCTCTTGTAAACCACAGAAGTGATTTTTTTTTCTGCCTGTATCTGTTGACTAAAGAAGTCAAACTGAAATGACCTTGTCGCTGTTGGCCCTGTTATTTTCTAATACATAAAAGTGTTCTTAAGTAAACTTCCAGCAAAATGGAGCTAGTGAGGCTTTTCTGGAGGGAACTTTGCACTGATCTCTTTAGATCCAAAAATGAAATCAGCCCAGGACACAGATTGGAGTTCAGGCTGAATTTCTGTCCCAGCGGTGACTTGACTTGAAGTCAGGCAGTTGTTCTGGCAGCAAGAAATGTTCTTAAACACACACATCTCCCATTCATCGTGAGCCAGTGTGAGCTGAGCTCATTATGTTCAGCGAAGGGGGATAATAAAATTCCTACTGATATTTGGCTAACAGAGTGATTTAGTTCTTTATTTCTTAAAGTTGTAATGTGGGGTGTTTGTCTGCTAGCATGTCCTGTCTGTGAAATACGACTGATTGTTGCAAATGAGGAATATCCCTTAAAATTATTCTTGTATAGCTGACTGTCTCAGTGACCTGATTTTTTTGCTGCTACTTTCATACAGAAGTATCACCAGTTTTACTCTGGTATTGATTTTTTTTTTTTAATCAGTTGATTCCTCTTTACTTTGGGAGGAGTTTTACTTGGGGAGCTCGGTACGCTGCACTTGTGCTGTTGAGCTCATTAACTGGTAGAGGATAATTTGCTGCTCTGTAAAGGGAATAAAAGAGCATTTCTGATCAGGTGAAACCTGCTGCTGAGGAGAGCTGGAGACCATAAGTAGCTGATGTCTTTCTCTCCCCTAGGAGGTAAAGGCTTTGTTTAAAAATGAAAACTGCCCCAAAGTCATAAGCTGTGAGTTTGCTCACAACAACAACTGGTACGTTACATTCCAGTCTGATACAGATGCTCAACAGGTAAGGCTGCCTTCAGCTCTTAATAATACCTCTGTTTTGTTATTGGTGCTTCCCTGCTCGACAGAATTGCATGTGTGCTGCCCACAGCTAGAAGTATTCTTTGTTTACTGATCCTCCCTCTTGATATTGTAAGAGATTATTTCCAAATTCTGGTTAACGTAGAAGTTAGAAGGCTGTAGGATTTCAGTTCACTTGTCTGCTTGCCACAACTGTGATATCTAACACTTCAAATTCAGGATAACCAGATAAGTTAGCTGAGCTAGCAGGGAAGCACATTAAGTCATATCTCTTAAGTGGTACAATTTCATCAAGGTATTCTAATGTTAATCTCTTCTGTGCAGGCATTTAAGTACTTAAGGGAAGAAGTGAAAACCTTTCAGGGCAAGCCAATAATGGTAAGGCTGTTTCGTAAGGGATTTCAGAATGAAATGTTGTTTCCATTGGGATGACATGGCACATTTGTGGGAGTGGGGAGTTAAGGAATTAGCAGTGGGCTAGATGTAAACTAGAGATAAAACCTGCAGTTCTGTAGGCCATTGACTTGAGTGAACATTGAGAAGTTACCGTTTGGTGCCTGCAGGTTAAGCACAGTGCTGCTTCCAGTGAGGTGTGAAATACGTTTCTGTTTAATCTTCTCCACTTCCCTGGGAATCTGTAGAGCTCAGGAGGGGGACTCCTTCACGAGGCTCTGGTTCCTTAACTGCACTGCAAATAAGGCTGAGGCCCACTGGTTGTGCTGTGAAAGGAAGTGTCCAAGTTGGAGCCTGGATGGTTACTGCTGTAGAAAGCAATGTTACCTTAAACTTCATCTCTAGATAAAAGTGTGTGTACCCTAATCCTACGCTCTTAAGAGTGTAATCTGATTCATTTTTATCAGTGTTGATTTGTGAAAAGTAATCAGCTTACTTCCTCTTCGTGTCTTTTGTGTTACAATTTCAACGGGCAAGAAAGGTATCATGTTCTACTTCTCATTTCTCCCGAGTAACACGTGGGATGTGATTTGCTATCTTACAGGCCAGGATAAAAGCCATCAACACATTTTTTGCTAAGAATGGTTACCGGGTAGTGGATTCCAGTGTTTATGCTCAGCCCATTCAAACACAAGCACAGTTTGCCTCACCGCTGTTTATGCAACCTGTATATAGTCCTCAGCAGTACTCAATTTACAGCATTGTGCCTCAGACATGGTCTCCAAATCCTGCACCTTACTTTGAAACACCACTGGTGAGTAACAGCTGCTGAGTGATGAGAATGGGGGAGATAGCCCAGCGCATCAGAGAGATCTGGAGAACAGATCAGTGGGGTTAGCAGGCTCTGCAGAGTGTGGGGGTTTTCAGTCAGATGGTTCTGTTTTATATCAGGGACCTCATAAAGCAAGGCTGTGAGAGCGGCAGTGGATCTCACCATTGTCTGCCGTTGTCAGATTTCGGTGCGCAGTTCTGTTATCCAGTAGTTGGTGTTGGTGGGTGAGCTCTGCAGCTCTTCCAGGAAGCAGAGGACTGTGCTGAAGGAGATCTGCTGGTTGTTAACCTGATGGGGTTTTCTCTCTAGTGGTAAGGTCACAGCATGCTAGCTGGAGTAGCTCTGCATAAAAGTTTGTACAGACTAAATGAATGACTGCTGAAACTGAGCCCGTGTAACTGCAAACATTTTGCTTTGATGTTCAGCCATTGAGACTGTTCTGTCTGTTGCAGGCCCCCTTTCCTAACGGTGGATTTGTGAATGGCTTTAATACACCAGGATCGTACAAAACAAATGCTGCTTCTTTGAGTATAGGTCGCCCATTCCATAGGAATCGGTAAGAAAGCTGCCTCTGTTTGTTTTTGAGAACTTTCAGTACTGAGACCCCAAAGTGTTCTTTGCACACCTGTAGAGTGCAGTGCCTCATAATGGGACCAGTTTATTAATTTTATCAAACTACCAAAGTGTTTTTTCAACTTGATTTATACCACAAAATAAGGATCGAGGTAGCAGCTTAAAAGCCTAAAATAATGGCCATATGCACTGGAGAGAGCAAAGGTAACTCCTTTAAAAGCCTCAGAGGAATTTTTGCAGACAAATAACTTCCTCTTAAGGCAATACTTCTAATTATGTTTGTCCTGCACAGATTACAAACTCTGCAGTGCAAACATGAGCTTTTCCTGCTGGGTGTTTACTCCTGCAGAGCCACTCAGCGTGTGCAGCTCACTTGCATCCCTGACTGCTTTGTGCTACAGCTGCACACGCCGTGTGTCTGTTACTTGTAGTTTATTTACTTTATCCCCATCTTTCCTGAGAAACTGTGAAGACTGCTCAGATACAAACAGTGGGGAGGAGGGAACAGCTTTGTATTTGCTGGAGCAGTACTCTGTAAATACAATGGAGTAGTAATGTGTTTGTGTGGGTGGAAATGGGTTTATTTGCAAGCTCTTCTGCTGCATTCAGCATGTGGCTGGCAGCGTGGAAATGGAGCTGTGTTCTGTTTGTGGAGTCAGTTGACAGCTGACGGTTCTGTAAGTGTTTGTGTGATGCAGTTAAGGTTTGTGGTTGTTGGCAGGGGATGAACTTGGAAATGTGGTCTCTGGTGACTCAGCAGAGCCTTAATGCCGGCTCTACAGCTGGCAATTGGACTTAGGAGATGGGGCAGCTGATTCTGTCACAGCTGCACAAATCACAGCTGCGATTCTGAAGTTGATCAATGTTGTTTGTTTGTTTGTTTGCCTTAAATTGTGTTGAAACTTAAAGCTTGTAAAATTTGCTCATTTCATGGGTCGTCTCAGAGGTATGGATGCTGAAAACATGCAAGAATTGTATGTGCCCAAAGATCAATGTCTGGGAATGCCCACACACTCACTGACTTGTAAATTGCACCTGCCTCATCTTTAAGCTTTTGAAACTCTTCTGATTACTTAAAACTTTCATTTGCCAAAGTTCAGTAATTGAGAAATTATAGCTTCAGGGTCAGGTGTGTGCAGGTTCTGCTGGTCTTTCTCGGTTCTCTTATCTTTCCTGCTCATCTTGCTGAGCCACTGTGCTTGTACCAAGCTCTGCTTTCACAGCAATAAATCTTAATGTTCCAGAAGCAGACAGGGATTACACTTCAGCAGGACTCCTTAGCGAGCACAAGACTGAAAGTTTGGCCCGGTGATGATCAAGTATCGCGCTAAGAGAGAACAGGTCCAACAGTCAGCGTCTGGGCAGCCTGCACTGCATGCTTTTCCTTCTTTTTACTCTTTCAAGTCACCTTTCTTTCTGTCTGCTTTTTTTTTTTTTTTTTTTTTTCCCCTCCTTATCTTTCCTTGTTTCTTCTGCTTTGCTCTTCTGCCCAGATAAGATTGTGGCCTTCTCAATGATGGCTAAGATTATGAGATCTGAGGGCTGAAGTACGATCTGAGAAGACTGGGGCCTAAGAACCAGTTCGTAAAGCCGCTCAAAGCTGTGAAAGATGAATTAATCTTTGTTTGATGCATCTCCTCTTGAACTGTAGGAGAGTTCATTCAGAGAGGTTCATTCAGCTGCTGCTTTCAGATTTGTCCTGGCTCATTAAGCTTCATTTTTTCTGTCATACAGGCAGTCGCTAGTTAAATATTGGATTTTTGTCTGTAGCTAAACATTTGTCTAAGCTGGTTGTGTTTATTTTGCCCTGATTTGCTGCAGTGTCCTTGTGGGAAAGGAAGGTTGAGTTTTGTGAGAGAAAGTTCTCAGTGTTAGTGTTGGTTAAGTTAAATTGATACCTTCTGTCCAGCCATCTAAAAGATGATTTAAAATGGCTTTGGCAAAGCAGATGAATTTGATCACTCAGAATTTGGCAGAGACGAGACAGGCTCTGTTCTGTCTTCTGGCAGGTTGGTTTTCCTGGGTAGTTTTCTGTTTAAGACCTGGAGCTGTAGCACACAGTAACACAGAGTGCGCACAGCCACATCTGGGTTCAAAGGAGATGCAGCTTTGATGCTGACTAATCAATAAGTGGGTAAAAGGTCTGGAAAACCACAGTCAATGTGGAGGCGTTTGATAACGGGAGCAGCGGGGCTGAGATCCTGGCTTTTGGGGAGGAGGGCTCTCAGCTTCCCTGCTCTGATCTGCCCAGGCCTCTTCAGCACATTCAGTCATACATCTGCTCCAGTTTCCTGTTACAGTTCAGATTTTTTGCTTGTGCTGGAGCGAGGTTTGTTCTTTAGGTTTCATTCTCCAAAGAAGTTGCCAGAACCCAGTGTCCATGCAGCAGGTACAGGTCGGGGTTACGTTGTCTCTTCTACTGTGTCAGGTCTTTGGGGATTTTGTTTTCTTTTGGGATCTGCCAGGCAGTGACCTCTGTTTTCTGCTGACAACGTTTGATGAGAAGAGAGGTGGCAGGAGAGCTAGAATGGAAGGAATAGATGGAAGGAAGGAATAACAGTTTCTTTGTTCTCGACAAGTGTTCAGGAAACAAGACTTCTCTGATGGAGGTCCAGTACATATTGACCTCCTCCTTTTTGTCAGCTGCAGATTAACAGTAGGCAGTGGAAACTTTGCAGTTTGTTCTTTAAACTCTGGGTTACAGAGCCTCTTGCCATGTGCCCTGCAGTGTGAAGCCTCACTTCCGATCGTCAGGCAGCTCAGAGCACGCTGCGGAGGGTCCAGCTGCAGCCAGCACTGTGTCAATGGGGGATGGACCACTGAGTAGAACCAGCTCAAGGAATTTTGTTATGGAGCGACATAACAGCACGCTAACGGGGCACCAGGAGCAAGGCTATGCCCAGAAGGATTCTCCTACCGTGCAGATGGAGCAGAATGGAGATTATGGCATTGGCAGGGGCAGGTAATGCAGCGATGTGTTGGAGGTTCAAATGATGCTGAGCCAAGGATCATCAGCCATTGGCACAATAGGCATTTCTGTAAATTGTCACTGGAGAGAACTGACATTTAAACAGAGCATGATAAATACTTAACTGTTAGCACGAATTCCTGCTTGACTGAATACCTGACAATTCTTCTGGCAAATACTTTAAGATGTCTTTATTCCAGAATAACTGATTTGTCTCCAGAGTTGTTTCCAGAACATTTGATGAATTAATGTTGGTATTTGTACTGGCATAAAGAATAAATAAATCTTCATCGATAGGCTGTTGTGAGTCCCTGTGCTACGGGTCCCCTTGTGATGTACTTTGGCTGTAGCTAAGTGACTGAGCAGCTTGTTTTTCCCTTTAAAGGAGAAACATCTTCAGAGGTCGGAGGAGACGAGAAGATGACCGGATTTCGGTAAGTTCCACTTCCTTTACTGCAAGTCATGCATTTATTGAAGGAGTGGCACAGTCCTTAAGTTCTTAGGTTACACCACTGGTAGTCACTGCTTCTCAGGAAACGCCCTGATGCTCACTTTCAGCTCTTTCAGTACTACAAGTCATGACTCTGTTAACTAACAGATATTTTCTTTCCCTGTAGCGACCTCAGCCTTCAACAGAAACAAAGACTCAGACACCAAAGTTTGATTTGTTAGCATCAAATTTCCCACCTTTGCCTGGTAGTACAGCAAAAATACCAGGAGAGCCTGTGCTGGAGAGCAGGATGTCTGATGTAGTCAAGGGAATCGGCAAAGAAAAGGTATCTGCTTAAGTCTCTGGCAAGAGCACAGTAGCTCACCTTGCTGTGTCTTCTTCTCCCCTGCCTAAAGAATTAATCATTCTTGTTAGAGCTGTGCATTAGAGTGCTTTAAGACCAAACGCTGTGCTGTTTTAATATAACAGCACATCTTCTGTCTCTTCTGGATTTCTTTGGCTTCGTGGGAGTATTCAGTTGAAGCTTCTGTAATTACAGAATGACATATAGTGTAAGCTCAGTTCTGGAGTGGAATAAAGGAGGGAAATGTGGGTTGTTGGTTGTTGTAGGAACAGTTTGTGTGTAGTCTAGACAGGGGCTTCTCCAGGTGAATCTGCTCTTGAGCACTTATTGTGCACCTACCCCATTTACTATGGGCTTTATCCACTGTTTCTCCCACATAAATGGGGATTGGTTTAGAGGTGCTCCAAAAAGAAACAGAATTCCTATAATCTGGACTTGATTCACCTTTGGAAAAATCCCACTTGTCAGTTTTTGTGTACTGGCATGCTGAGGAGCGATTCAAGCACATGTGCCATCTCTTCATACTTTGCATCTTCTTTCTGCACAGGAAAGCAAAGATTTGCTGCCCAGCTGTCCGGCTTCTGCTCAGGAGGAACAGATGCACAGCATCGTCCAGCAGCCTGTGACGAGCGTGAGTTCATCGGGTCAGACTGAAGCTGTGGTGTTAAGGTATGTGGCTCACGTGAACGGGTGTGTTAAAATCTGTGTGTTCTGTGGCTAAGACTGTAGCTGACATCCTGCAGGATGGCAGTAATGATTGTGCTTCCTTTCCCCTTCGTGGAAGGTAGCTCCTGTGGAGGCCACAAGATGAAAATAAATCATGGCAGTAAAAGCTGCACCAGTCTGCAAAAAAATATGGCTGTGGCTCTGAAGTGTGTCGCAGACTTTAATGTTAAACCGTTCTTGATTTAGCAGCACAGTTCAGCCAGAGAGCAAACCAGAAGTGTCTGTTCAGAAGGATGTTAAAAGCCACACGTCCCCACCTGTGTCTGTCTGTCCTGTCAGCACTGCAAAGCCACCAAGGACAAATACCACCAACACCACCTCGTCTCCTACTAACACAAGCGCAGCTCCCGCGGCGTCGGTGCAGGTAAGGCGCAAAGCAGGGATGGAGTGAGGAACGTGGGGAGTCTCCCTCAGGTGTGCTGAAGTAGCACCTGGAGCTCTTCAGTGCAGTTGGCCACAGCTGTGGTTTCAGCACTCGTTGCGTGTGTTCTTGGGACCGCGTGGAAGAGCACGGTGTGGTTATTCTGGTCTGTAAACACCGCTCTTCTCCCTTGGTCCCAAAGGAGCCGCGCAAGCTGAGTTACGCAGAAGTTTGCCAGAAGCCCCCGAAGGAGCCGCCTCCCGTTCCTGTTCAGCCTCTCAGGGAGCTTCGCACCAACATCGTTCCCCCCGCCAAAAACGACGACAGCGGTGCAGCCGAGAGGGCTTCGGAGAAGGCTGCTGACAAGGCTGAAGGTCGGATGAAGGATTTCTCCGGGTTCCGAGGCAGCGGGCCGCCCCGGGGAGCTGCGGGGAAAATCAGGGAACAGAGGCGCCAGTTTGGACGCAGATCATCGCCTCAGGGAGCGCCGCGGCGTGTCGGCAAGGAGCAGTACGTGCCACCTCGGTCACCAAAGTAACGCCTGTCCGGCCCATTCCTCTGTTTAATTTCAGCTGTGGACTAATGAGCAGCAAAGGAGACTGAGAAAGAAGTATTCGTGAAGGGGAATACTGAACTGGAGTGTGGCTTGTGTGGAGAAGGTGTGGAGGGTCCCAAAATTCATCTCTGAAAGTGATTTCACAAATGCTGGAGGATTCCAATCAATATGAATATAGAGATTATAATTTTTGTATTTTTGTTTTTAATTTGCAGAGGGTTTCCTGCTTGAAATCTGTTTTGGGGTTGTGAAACTAGCTTTTTGACAAAGTGAAAGATTGTGAATCGGCGAATTAACGTGTCGCTTGGCGTAGGAGGAGAAGGATAAGAGATTATTATTTTTGAAAAAAATGAGCATTTCTGTAAAAGTAGAAGTTTTTTTTTTTAACCTATTTAACAGTTGGCTTGTAGGATGATGTGTCTGCCATTGATGGCCTTGCATTGCAGAGCGTGTCTGCAGCCCAGGTGCTTGGTCGGTGTGTGAGGTTGGGTGAGTGCAGCCAGGTATGTTGTCACGGCTTAGTTACCGATGGTAAAAACTGAATGTACTACTGTAGTGAACTTTGTGTTTCCAGCTCGGAGTATATCTCTTGACCTTACTAATAACTCATTCAGCAAGCTTTTTAAACTATAATTTTTACAGGAGACTGGATTGTAGGTCTGAGCACATGGACGGCAAAACCTGTCTTGTACGTGCGGTAGGAAGAGGCAGAAGGGAGCGTGTCAGAACTCCTGATTTGACCTTCCTCGCCTCCTCGAGGGCGACGTGGTGGGGTTTTTCATTTGTTTTTATCTCGCTTTTTACTTTCTCTAATCTCTTTATTGCAGGCTTCTGTGCATTTATCTTGGTATGTTTTTGTGAGGCAGACCCAGTATAGATGAGTGATGGACAGCTGCTCGGTCCGTGGCGTTAGCTCCGTGTGTAATGAGCCTGGAGTTGTGGAGTTGTGCCCCACGGAGCCCTACCAGGCTCAGGCTGGAGTCTGCTCTGGAATAGTTAGCAGCTCAGGCGTGGCTGGGTTTCTGTATGCTGACCTGTCTTTGTGATCTGGAGTAGGGCATGGGATGCTGTATGCTAGAAATCAGAGTTTACATGTACTGGGAACTCGTTTACAGCTGATACAGTAACAACTGACTTTGAAAAACTGTTCCAAGTGGAGCTAAGGGTAAAGAATTAAACAAAAACCCTCGTGTTCAGAGAAGCTGCTCGAAAGGTAGCATCTGGCCTAGCTGTATGCCGACTGAATTTGCAACACTATTTGTGTAGTAAGTGGTTAAGTTTGAAGGTGATGACCGTAATGACTGAAATGGGAAAACTCAGCGCATTAATCTGCCAAAATCAGCACGCCAGGGTTCAAAGTTCTGTGTGAAGCGTTAGGAGGAGGTTCCAGCAGCAAGAAATCACGCCTTTTTTCTTTCTGTAGCGAATAGCAAGTGTACAAACTTTTAAGTCGTAAGTTGTGAACACTGGAAAACTCAATTGTGATATATACCGTAAACATCTTAGTAATATATGTTAGTGTTGCCATTAGAATGAATGTAAGTGGCAGTTAAAATAACTGTGAAAACTTTCATTTTCTGATTTCTTAGCCAGATAACCCTTGGCAACTTCTTACTCAGTAGGCATTCGCTATCAACTGCTTTGAGAACACTCATATCTATTTTTATAAATATATATATAAAGCCAGAGTTGTCATTTCTCTAACTTATTATTCAGCTTGGCAATTGCTTTGATTTGATTCATAACACAATATGATGTATTTATGCAGTTAACTGTTCATTTCTACGCATGTTATATATATATATACACACATATATATTAAAAAAAAAAAGAAAAAAAAGAGAGAACCAAACCAAAATCATTACTCACTGTTAAACTACCTGTACTGCGTTTGGGAGGTTTTTTTTTAATTTAGTTAAAAAGAAAATAATAATAACTGTTGATCATGTCTACAGTTTAGGAATGCTTACAGAACCCTTCTCCATTTATTTCGATAACGCTACGTTTGTTGGAATGATAGAGAAATTTGAATGTTTTGAAACGTTTTAAGTTCTGAAATGGAATTCAGAATTATTTTTGATCCGTTTAAAGGCTACAAACGACGACTGCAGTCAAACTGGAAAAACTGTGATAGTCACAGATGTGTGGGTAGATGTGTGCTGTCACTGGGGGTTCAGGAAGCACTGGGTGCTCAGTGCACCTGGTAACCATGTAGTGCTCCAAGGTGGAATCAGAGCTTTTAACAATTGTGAAATGGAATTTTTTAAAAAAAATTATTTTATTACTTGTGGGGAAAAAAAATGAACTGCAGTTCAGTCTTTCTTAAATGGTGATTGGGAAGACTTGACCGTGGAAAGGATGCTTTGTGTGTCCTGGATGTACATTTCCCAGCAGCAGAGCATGGCTCCTGTACAGTGTATGCGAATGAGTCTGCAAACCCGTTGGCTCTTCTTTTTTTCCCCCCAGCATATTAAGATTTTGATCAAATTAGAGCACTCATAATTATTTATTTAATACTTATCTGCAAGGATTTAACGTTAGCATTCCCCTTCCTCTTCTCCCCCGCCATTGATATTGTTGTTTTCTTTCCTAATCTTTTGTGCGTTGGGGGAAATAACCAAGTCAATGTAAAGGCTGTGAAAACTATAGTTTTGTGTGCAAGTTCTCCTGCAGTACTCGTATTGCATGGCAAGCGTTTCACTTAAGCGGGCTAGCTGCTACGTTCTCATCCCTGTAGTAGACTCAGGCAAACTGCTGTGTGTGCCCACTTCTGACAGGCTGGGGGACACAGGGACAGAACGGTGACGTGAGCCAGGCTGACTGCTGGGGCAGCTCGTGGCTTTCATTTGAGTCACATCGCTTCATCGTTAGAGGTGAAACTGTCCCTTGTTCAACAGTGTTGGAATGACCCGCGGTGACACAGCAGCTCCCAGCAGCTCCGTTCCACGCGGTGTGAACACAACCCGTCCCGCTCTGCGGATGATCCATGCGTGCAACTTTCATGAACTGTGAGCTGTGTTCAGCATTGCTGACTTCTGTTCCCTACAGAAGTGTGCTTCCCCTGTTTCAGTTCTTTTCCAAATGATTGTGCATGGAAAAGATCGGGCTGCTCTCTTGCATTTTTGCTGGAGAGCGAAAAGTGGAGTAATTATTTGCATGTGATAGTAAAAAGTGCAAATTCTTTTTTTTCTTTTGATTTCTAAAATTAAGTTAGTTTTATAGCATCTTACATTCCTGCTATATTTGTTTTTAAAAAATAATAATAAAAAAAAAAGTTAGCCTGGCACAGTATGATGGTGCAGTTTTAGCAGTAGATCTATAAAAAGAAAAATAAAATAAAAATGTAACCCACTCTATTAACCAGAAGAGAAAGGTGATACTGTGGCAGATCAGTAGCAAATAAGTGACTTAATCGATGCTTTACTGTAGTTCAATAGCTATGGCCTTACTACTTTGTCAATATCAGCTTAATTGTCTTGAAAATGTCTGCTATTTTTACTGTTCCCGGGGGTGTCCGCCTGGGGTGAAATATCTGATATGTACAGATGATATTTTAAATTTGTAAAATGCACCATTGTATTACAGACGATGCAACAGAAATGCACTTCGGGGGGAAATTGCTTCTGATGAGTTTTTTTGTAAATCCTCGATGACTACAGATATGCAATAGAATTGTTTTTTTTTTTTTTGTTTCTAATTTTGATATTTCCTTCTGAAACGTAACGATTGTTGCCATTAATCCGAATGATTTCTCATGCTCTTTGTGTGTATATATTACCTATAGTCTGAGCTTCCTTTAGGATGGTACATAGCTTTGGTTTGTTGTATTTTAGTTAGCTCTTCTCTAAGTGCCTTTAGCACAGGCACTGCAAGAGGCTTTTGGAGTCTGTTTTTAATGTACAGTTGGGAGGACTTGAAATGGAGTTAAAGCAACTTATTTCTGAAGAAAAAAAAAAAAAAAAAAAGAATAAAAATCCATCCGCAAACTAACCTGTAACAACCTAAAAATTTTATATTTAAGAAACCAGAGGTTTATTTTTATGGAGCTTCAGTTATGGATACAGTTTCCAGAAGATGCAATTTCAGCTATAAACAGACTGTGTGTAAATGGTTGTTTTTTTTCTTTTTTTTTTCTTTTTTTTTTTTTTTTCTTTCTTACCCTGATTTTTAGAGGAAACAAAAAATTCAGGTAATATATTGAGCTCCTGTGAGTACGGCCCTCGTGTTCCTCCCGGATGAACCCAGCTTCCCCACAGCATCTCTGAGCTCCTCGTAGGGCAGGGCTTGAGTGAAAGGAGAAAAAAACACCCATCTGGCTTCTATGTCTGTCCTGGTCTATTCCTGTTGTCAAAACTGTCCAAAAAAAAACCCCCACAAAATTGTGTCAAGTAGGTTCCATGCTTTAAATGTTCAAATGATGATACTTGTATTTGTATTTGTTTTTGACATTGCCAAGGTGCTATGGGAAATTGAAATAACAGTTATAGAAAAAAAAATAATAAAAAGCTGATTTAAAAGGAAAAAAAAAAAATACACACAAAAAAAACCCAAACCACCACAAAACAAAAAAAAAACAAACAAAAAAAAAACAAAAAAAAACCCAACAACGGTCTCTCTCGGCGCTGTCTGTTACGCGCGTGGGAATCTGAGGGGGACAGGGAGGCGGGAAGCGGCGGCTTCGACTGAGGGGCGCAGAGCGGGCGCGGGAAGAGGCGGCCCCCCGTGAGGGGATGGGAAAGAGCGGGAAGGCGCAGCCGCGCCTGAGGGACGCGCGAAGCTCCGCTGTGTGAGGGATGGCGCCTGGCCACCAGGAGGCGCTGCGTGTGCGGGGGGAGGCGAAGGGGCTGCAAAGCGGTGACGCGAGGTTCGCGCGCCGCCCCGCGGTGTGACGCGGCGCTGGGGCGGCGCTGTAGCCAGCATGGCGGAGGTGGCGGCCGCTCCCGCTGCGCCCGCGACCCGCAGCCCCCGGCGCTGAGCCGGAGCCGCGCCGAGGTCGGCGGCCGGGCCCGCCTTTATTCCCCTTCCCTTTCTCCCTACCCCTTACCTTCTCCTACTCCCGCCATGGCCGAACCGGCGGCCGCGGGTATCTCCTCGTTGCCTCGCGAGGTCCGCGAGCAGCTGGCCGAGCTGGAGCTGGAGCTCTCGGAAGGTGAGCAGCGCCGGGAGCCGCACCGCCCCGCCCCGCCCTCGGGGCGCCGCGACCCGACCTCGGGGCCGGGGGGCTCCTTGTGGGAGGGCTGAGGAGCGGGAGCCGGAGGAGGGCCGGGCCCTGAAGGGGTCCTTTACGTGTGTGGGGGAAGACAAGGGAGAAGTGTGTGAGGAGGAGGAGGGCTGGGAGTAGCTCTGTGTGCGGAGAAAAATAGCTGGGGGTCCTAGGGGGGATGGGGGTCATCTTTGTGCGGGGAAAAAAAGGGGAGCGGGGAGAAGGGGAGCCTTGTAAGGAAACGGGGGGCTGTGCGGGCCTCTCTCCTTCCTTGGCCTCAATTCGGCGCCGTGCGGGCCGTGGATGTGGGGTGGGAGGGACTGACAGCAGTGCGGGGGCTCGAAGGGCCCTGGGGTAAAAAGCAGCGTGCAGCCGGATGCGCTTTCAGCCTCAGTTCTTTTCCGTAGCTGTTATCAGGGCGACGCGCGCACTTTTTGCTGAGAACAAAACCTACCGAGTTTGTTTCCCGTTCTGCACGGCCGTCTTTGTTTCCTGGTGCTCACGGTGCTGCAGAGCTCTGGGTGTGCATTGCCAGGAGCCCATCGGCGCTCAGCTCGGTGCCACAGCAATGCCTTATCGGGAGAGACCTCACAGGTGCATTAATCCCCCCCATCGTTAACAAATTGACGATAAATGGAACTGCGAACGTCTTTGTGCTGTCACTTTGTCCCAGAATGTACAGAACGTAAAGGAGACTGTTTACAGCTGTAAAGATTTGAATTCCTTCTCCGAGCTTCCCGTGTTGGTAGGCAGTGCTCAGTGTATTGCCGGATGGAAAGGCAGTGGTAGTGCTTTTCAACACTGGCTGTTTGTAGTTGGGCTTAGTGCTGCCTGTTGGCTTTTGTGAGTGTGTGTGTGTGATTTTTTTTTATCCAAATTTTTCCAGATAATGCTTTCTGTAAACATTTAACGAAGGCGATAACCCTAGCTGGTGTTTGGCTTGGGGTAGTGCACGCTAACAAAGAACTGGAGAACATCCTCTTCACTCACTAGAAATAAAATGAGAAGTAATTGTTGGGCTTTGGAAGAATTTGCTGAACGTTTTTAAACGTTTGCTTCTATTTTCTGCAAATTGTTCCATGTGATACTGAAAGACTTTTATTTTGAGCCGCTGGCATGCAGCACTGCGAGCCGTGCTTGTTAAGGTCCTTTTGGTAGAAGGGTCAGCTGTGACATCACGCTAATCTTTACAAAGCTCCTAACAGCTTCAACTTCCATGCTTTGGAGCGAAGTTTCCTGTGTTATGTAATTCTGTGAACACTAAATCCATTACTGCTTCATGAATTTCATACCCCGGTGTTTTAATGTGCGCATGACGGGTTTCTGTGTGCCAGTCTCTTTTCCTATCAGAAGGCCTCGAGTGCAGCTGATGGTGTTTGGCCCTGAGATAACCGAGGAGACCTGTGAGGTAGTGGGGGGTCAGTGGGGTGATGCCATTTAAAGCACGCCCCGGTTTGAGACTTCAGCATAAGGACTTGAAGGTGAAAGCGTGCATTGTGAACTGGGTAGAACTACGGAGCTGTTTATAGTAAACAACATTGAATGGAAGGGTTTTATTAAAAATGGCAGCGGTGCTTGCTGTGTGACTGATTAGTTCTCGCTCAGGTAAGAGCACTTGATCCTTCCCCCCTCCTAACTGCAGCTTCATTTTCTCAGATCGGCTCTTGTGTGCTCCGTGAATGTTTCAGTTGGGGTTTCTATGCCTCTCTTTGGGAATGGGAGAGGACCTGCGGGGACCCAAATTCAGCACCCCTAACACAGGGGCTGGGAGATGGCTGTGCCTCGATGGGTGCTCGCACACGGGGAGTGCTGAGCAGCAGTGTGAAGGAGGGCTGCCCTGCAGGTGAGCTGGGAGCACAAATGCTGTGGGCTTCGTGTGCGGCTGTGTCCCCACTCACCTTCATGGCTTGCGGAATCTGTAACGGTATGGGGGAAAGAGAGTATTAAAATCATATCTGATGCTGTGCTTGTGGAAGGTGCTGCAAATAGAATGCGGAGTGGAACAGAAGGGTTGGGTTAGTGTATGCTTAAAGTAGAAATCATCGTTTGCAATGATCTGCTGTGAGACTTTCTTGGAAGTAACAGCAGTGCCATTCCTGAGGAGCTTGAAGTGTTCCAGCAGCATAGTGGGACGTGTTGCAGGAAGCAGTAATTCTTTTTCCGTTAACCAAAATTGTTTTCGTTTATTTCTTTCAGTCTTTTGTTGCATGTCCTTATTTGGCCTCAGTGATTGATTTGCATTTAATTCGTTTATTTCTAAATGAGCTGAGGTAGGAGGTCAGTGTCTCCTATAATGTGTTATATCCAAACCTCGAACAGCACATTTTACAGAGAGATTCTTTACAGAAGGGATCAGTGTCATTGCCTCTAATGAGAATGATTAACTACATGTAAGCAATGAATTAAGTCATGGAGCTACATGGAACCTGGAACCTACTGATTACTCATGCTTTCCTTCTTTTCTTACTTCAGTTTCTTTTTCTTTCTCGTGCTTTTTTTTCATCTGTCAGTAACACCCACATTATGCATCAGTAATGATGGGAAGGGCTGGCTGTGTGCTTGCATCTGCTGCTGCTTGATGAGGAGAAGCAGGGATAGGAACTTTAAAGTGCCCAAACTGTTGGTGAGGCTCAAAGAAATGAACGGTTTCACATTTCTGAGTGCAGGAGCTCAGTTTTACACCTCTGGGGCTGTGTGTGATGGTGGCTGTGGGTGCTGCCTAACAGCTTTGCTCTCAGAGCTCGGTGAGCACCTGAGATCCTCCATGTCCAGTCTGAGATGTCGGCCCAGCAGCAGCACTCAGCATGGAGGTGTCCGGGCACTCTGGTGCTTCGGGGACAGTTCTTAAGCATCTCTTCTCATATTAACCTCATTGCAGCTGTGTTAACAGTGCTAAAAACTCTGGTATTGCTGGATTCATAGGTTCTAATTAAGCACATTCTGTACATTTGTGTTACGCACTGCGTGGTCTGAGGTGGCTGCGCAGTGAAGTCTGTGCCCTTGCTGCAGTGTGGGTGGTGGTGGCACTGGAGCTGCTGCGCTGGAAGTAGGACAGCTTAGTGCTCTCCTGGAGGGCTGGTTTGGCTGCTGGCTTTTGTTTGACTGCAACTTCTGTCTGTTTTTAAGCAGTAAAGGGATGTGAGCGGAGTGAACTTCAGCTCGTGACATCTGTGAAAGTATGAGGTAAGGGGAGGGGGGAAACCCCGCCTAGTAATAAGGAGGAATTCCTGTGATTGCAGTTCAGGCTCTGAGCACGATTTGCCCTTTCTGGGTTATGTGACAGCGTTATCATATCACCGCTCTTGCTTCATGTACAGAAGGAGGTGGTTTCTGTTGACTTTTCTGGTTAAACATCCATTTGGCTGTCTGGTTTGTGACTCGTGTGGGTGTTTCTGTGAATGGCTCCGCGCACCTGTGTTTGTTCCTTCTCTGCTGATTGTCTCTTAGCGGGGAAGTGAGGCAGAAGGAAGCATGTGTAAGGACTTCCAGAAGCAGAAGGGATGGTGGCTGGTGTGGAAAACGTGGTATCAGCAGAACAGCTGAAACCCGGGGCTGAAAGCCAGCCAAATAGGATAGAACCTTATTGGAAGAAAACATGTTGACTCAAACAATTGGGTCGAGTCTTTGTTTTGTTTGGCTTGAGAGATTCCTGAGGAATCCTGGTGTTTTTCTCTTCCCTCAAAAGCTGTGCTTTTCACTTTTCATTCTTAGATTGCCAGGCACCCATCAAAGTAGGTGAGGATCTTTTTAATAGATGGAGTAGATGAATTA